AAAAAAAAAAAAAATTAAAAAAAAAAAAAAAGGATAAGGGAAAAAGACTAAAACCAGTCCCTCGCAATACACTAGTTAGAGGAGAACTGAGTATAAAACACCAAAAGAAAGTAACCGCAAGCCATTATGTTTGCTCTCACATAATTTATTTTTTTTGTAGTATAACTTAATGAAGTATGACGTCATGCTACAAACTAACTTCCGGTTTTGATGGAAGAAATCGTTCAGGAAATACGTCACCAACTTAGGCCAAACATTTGTATTCCAATTCGAGGTACTTCTTTGCAGCCCAACAAGGGTCACCAAACATTGCATCCGACGCTGTGACGTCACATCTCGATTTTCCGTCGCAAAGTGACTTCAACTAGAAATAAGTACAAGTCGAATGAGCTGAAAAATAATTATTTTTTAAAAAAACGTTCGGCGTTGAACTTTTAACGATTCGTGATACCATGTTTGTTTCCTAGCGCTATGATTGGGTAAGATTCAATTCCTCGTTTTTGATTGGTTCAAATAAGAAGCCATTTAAGTGTCACAGCATACGGGAACTGGCGAATATGATCATCCAATTAGAAAACAAGGAAACTATTACTGTCACGCAAGGCAGGTTTATCCCATAACTTTGTTCTATAAGCCATGGCACATACATTAACTGAGTCACACATACAAAGCTGTCACGCAAGGTTATGAGTCACTTTTGTCACACGTGACAGTTAAGCAGGTTTAAATCGACTCTTACGTACCTTTGATAGCTGATCGGAGCTACAGGAAGCCCAAGGAAAGAACGAACATTTCAGCATGTTACGTCTGCCATAGTTAGCAAAAGTTATTTGGATTTTTCTTCTGGCGTAGCACAAGATGCTGTCGGTGTTGCCCTCACAGATGATCTTGGAAAAGACGAACTTGCCTGGAGAAAAAAAATGAGTGAATGATTAAAAGATGAATGACAAAATGGGATGATATGCGTGAATGAATGAATGGATGGATGGGTGGGATGGGTGCACGTGGGATGGATGGATGGGATGGATGGATAGATGGATGGATGGATGGATGG